GAAATATCGTAATACGATAAACAAAGCTGTCGACTACATCGTTCGTAACATGGAAGGATTAAACGACACGTATGCATTGAGCTTGTGCGCCTACGCCTTGAATTTGGGGAAGCATCCATACGAGACGTCCGCGTTTAATTTCCTGGAATCGATGGCTATGACAAAACAGGGTATCAAATGGTGGAGCAAAGCTATTCCAAAAGACGACAAAAATCCGCATTACTCTTTACCGCGTTCCGTCGACGTCGAAATGACATCTTATGCTTTACTCTCGTATCTCAGACGTAATCTGGTCGCTGACGCAATTCCCGTCATGAAATGGCTCGTCAAACAAAGAAACACAGAAGGAGGTTTTGCCTCGACGCAAGTAAGTACAATTATTCAAAGTGCGTGAACGCAAAATGTTATTATCTTTAATATATGTTTAATATGTTGGATAACTAAACAAAGATTTGTTCGAAATTATGTCCGAAATAATCTAGGACACCGTGATCGGACTTCAAGCATTAGCGAAGCTCGCTGAGAAATTGTCAAAGGATACGAGCTCGGTTCGAATCGCATTTAAATATGGGAGAGACGGTCAAGGATACATGAACATAAATAGCGGCAATTCTATGATACTTCAAAAACAGATACTACCCACGAAAACACGGTTCGTCAATATAACGGCATCCGGTAAAGGTTTCGTGTTGGTGCAAGTCTCCTATCAATATAATGTAAACGTGACTGGGGCATGGCCATTATTCACGTTGGATCCTCAAGTGGATAAAAACTCCAACCCCAATTATTTACAACTGTCTATATGCTCGGGGTATGTCTACCTTATTATCTCACAAATTTATCAATTTTATTACCGACAGTAAAGAAAGAAAGGTATCAGCGTTTTTAAGTATACTTGATATTCTAATCGTCGCACGGAAGAAGATAATTATTTTTAAATTTTTGATTCCCAAGTGAAAGATATGCACATACGGAAATTATAATTTAATTTAATTTAATCATAAAATAAAAAGATAGATACTAAGAATATTTATTTTCCTAATTCTTTCTTACACGATTCTATCGTTCGAAAATTATTATCAAATTCTTCATCGTCAGATTTGTTCCAACCAAAGAAGCAAACGAGAGCAATATGGCCGTTATGGAAGTAAGTCTACCTTCCGGCTTCACTGTTGACAGAGATTCTCTACCGAGTCTAGAAATATCATCGCATGTAAAACGTGTGGAAACTAAAAATGGTGACACAATGGTGGTTTTATATTTCGACAAGGTAAAATCTATATCGTAGCTTGTCAACAATAACTAATTGCCATAAATTATTTTAATAGTTTGCATAAGAATATGATGAGAAATACAATATTAAAACGTCGCGACGCTACCGCGTCACTTGATATGAAAAATCTAAAAAGAGAATTATTTATTTTATCATAGATGATCAAGGAAGAGTATTGCCCTACTGTATCCGCATTTAGGACGCATAAAGTAGCTAAGCAGAAACCAGTTCCCGTTTCTATATATGATTATTATGATTCATGTAAGTATATCATTTAAGCTCTCTAATTTGACTTAAAAAATATTTGAAAGATATTCTAAGATAAAAATAATATATAAGAGACACAAAAAATAGAGATCATAAAAAATATATTTCTATTTTTCTATGTAGCAAGAAGAGCAAGGGTATTTTATGAGGCTAGAAAAACAACTTTGTGTGATCTATGCGAGGATGAAGATTGTCAAGATATATGTGTCTCAACACCTGGCAAACAGAAGGATAATGCTACAGTATCCGCTGCGTCTCATATTTATACTTGTGTATATTTACAGTTCATGTTCTTCTCGTTTTACTTACAAGTTTTGCTTCATAAGTATTTGTAATTACGTTGTTATCGCGCGAGAATAATTATTTTACTATATACCTTAAATCTCTAACAAACTAACGTGAAGGAGCTGTATAAGTTGCGACCAAAGTACTTGTTATACAGAATATAAATTATAATCCATTTTTATGGAATATCCAAATCAAACTAACGTAAGATTTAATTACTTGATAATATTATGTTTATAATAAAACCTAATAATGTTTCTTGTTATTAGGGAAAGTTATTTTTCACATCATGAATTCCTCCAAATATGTCGTTACTCATATAAAATATTTATTTATATTTCCGACTTTGATACTACGAACGGATATAGCTATTAATTATAGCGAATATAGCTATTAATTACTACTGTAAAAAATAATTATTATCCATGATATCCTTTTTATCGTAACATATAAAAAAAGAAAAGGAAATGGTATTAATTTTGTAGCACACAAATATTATTAATGTAATGTATTAATTTCATACTTTGTCCCATATGATTTTCAAGATGATTTATATTCGACGATTTACAGAAAAATATTGAAAATAAATTATTATAATTCGGTAATTCGGTAAAATCTATAATTTTAGAACGAAAATTATAACGTTATTTTGCTATGCATGCAGAAGATCATCGTCGCTATCCGTTTGACACTGCGTGGGATCGGAAGCGTCGAACAAAAGTCTAGCCTCCTCAGTCGTATCGACCTGCGATGATAAAAATGTAAAATATACGCGGCAGCTCATAAAAAGCTCATAAAAAGATAGAAGGAAATGAACGTACTCTACAATACTGGATGCGGCTTGCACCTCTTCTGAAACTAAGCAGATTTATCCACGAACGAAAGCACGCTCTTTTCTCCGGATTTCGGAAATAAATTAAAGCGACCAACACCGCGATCACAGTTAGCACTATGCCAGCTATCGCTCCAGCTGTAAGCAAGGATATTACTTGTAAAATCGTTGCAGCAAGATAGACTGAGACAAATAAGAAAAACTGAGTAAAGTAAAATAATTTCATTTGACAAAAATATATTTCTACTAGTTTCATAAAAACAAGCTCGCCAAATGTCCTCTTAAAATAAAGTAGAAAGAATAATTGACTTTGCTTTCCCTTTATGTATCTGTCACTTTATTTAGCGTCTGGCTTTCAATTATCCAGAATCTTATCATTTTCCTCAATCTGTCTTGCCAAATTCGGCATCAACGTCGCATCTGTAATCTGATGCCATCAAAATGTATTACCGTGTTTACCGTGACTAGAAGAGACCAAGAGAATTCCGGAGGAAGGTACTTCTTCTCGATCCACATCTCGAGAATTGGCATGTTTCGCGCAGATCACTTCGGTGTGCCATTCAAATTCCGCGCTACACTGCGATTCCTATAAGTTACAAAAAAATAAAAATAAAAATGACATCGAAAGAAAAAAATACGGATTAACAATATCTACATGCGTAAATTTTATTTGGCTGTATATCTGACAACCGTCCGCAGATTATCGCTTAATCCCCCGTGACAAATTATAAGCTTTGACAATATTTTTTCAATCCATCTCTGTCGTGAACAAATGTATATTTTACGCAATGATCGATATTTCAACTGTGAAAGTTGTATGCAAGGCAAATTAATAAAAAGCAGAATACTAAAATATTTCTTGAATTTAAAGATGTGAAGAACTGTAAAGGATTAACATTATATGTGTTTCACATTTTATGTATACACACGCAATATAGCATTTTTAACTAATAATACTTTAATATCTAATGTAAATTCGGTAAAATAACTTCACATTTTGAAGATCTTTCTTCTTGTTTAATTTTAAATTTTTGAATTGAAGATCAAGTTGATATTATAAAACATATAATTAATCTCATTTTGATGTCAACCGTAATAAATAAGAAATAAAAATATATCATTTTGACAGAAAGCATAAAAATCTAGGGTATTTTTAAAAATTTTTAATAAATGATATCCATTATCAGTCTTCAAGAAATATAAAAAGGTGATTTTGGTGATCTTGGTGATTTTTTACATTTTACGAAAAACAGAAAAAAGTAATAAGATTTCAATATCTGAAACCTGAATATTTTATAAAGAAATGCCCCTCTCTTTTTCATTGATATCACATATTATATATAAAAGATTTCCATGATAGGAGCAATGTTAAAAATATTCTAAAATACTTTTCCTCTTCCATCATCACTATTTTTACCAAACGTGCATATTAATATCATCAAGATACAATCGAATATTTCGCCTTCTTGTCCAACAGATAAATGGTAATCGGATATAAGCGTATACCAAATCAAGTTTATTTAAAACAGAAAAGCATAAAACGTGACAAGCGATATGAAATATTTAAAAAAGGAAAAGATCCTTGTTATATACAAATATAATTTTATAATATTTATTTAAATTTTGATATATGGCTCGCGTGATTTTATTCTATATATATGTATATATATACACAATTTTTCCCTCTATTTCTAATGATAAGCAGAATGTTGATTAACAGAAGGAAAAGAAATGCGCGGGTGAGTGAATGAATGAGAGACTCTCTCTCTCTCTCTCTCTCTGGAGAAAGACAGAGAAAGAGAGAGAGAGAGAGAGAGAAAGAGAAAGGCAGACAGAGGGGAAGATAGAGCGGAAAGGAGAAAGAGTGGGAAGTGGGAAGATGGAAAGAGGGGAGGTCACGATCTCACAATCGGTCGATCGCTCATAATCAGTCAGTCAGGCTATGTCGGACTGCGCGGTCGTACGATCAGCTTGACAGATCTATGAGTTTGTACGTTCAAATTACATTCGTCGTTAGCTTACGTTTTCTTTTACGCCTTAAGACGAACCACATCTAAAGAAGAGAACAAAGTGCAATTAAAATAAACAAAGTGTCTATTAATTACAAACGTTGTACGAAAAATCACGTGTTGTGATATCAGAAGTGCGTGTATGTGTGATATCGTTATTAATAATTAATCACCGTTGTCTTCCGATAAAAGAGGGATCAAGGTGAACAAAGCGAGACCCGCAAATGATCGTCCAGTAACGCATCAACTACCATATTGCAAATCGGTAAGTAAACGGCGTATAGACGTCATTTCCACGAACCGGTTCAGGCACCGCCTCGCGGATGATCGTATCGTGCACAGGATCGGATTTAGTTTAAAAATATCTATTTAGTAGCGGTAGCGTTCGAAAAATAAAAAAATATTTTGTTAATAAATTCATCGTAATTTTGGCTGGCCATATAGATTCTGTAAATCTATGAATCAGTAAATCCGTGTTTCAACAGGCGGTCGTATATTTATTGTGTTTTCTGAACTTGCTACATCGTATCATTTATTTTATTTATTTTTTTTTTCTTTATATATCTTTTAAATTTCTCGCGAATTTACATATACGCGGAATGTGTTTTCCCTGCCTTGTCTCGTGTATTGATAGCTACGAATTCTAAAATGCAAAAAAAAGATAATGCAAACTATATCGTTTGCGTGTAGCATGATAAAGCAAGTTCATTTTTACTAATATATAATACATATATAAAATCAAAACACAAAGATCTTGAAAAATTATCCGCAACATTTTTACTGGCTTAGGAGCATTGAGTGAATCGGGCCCTGTTCTGTGACGTAAACACCCGTTCACAGAGGATCGTCAAGGACGATCCATACATCGTAAACTTTCGTTAATCGTCGTAGTTGTATTGTAGTTGAGCGACGCGGAGCAGGATGTGCCATGTCTTTATTCTTTTTTTTTCCTTTACTATCGCAAAATTTGTTGATAATGAATCGACAAAGTTTCCGCGTTTCCAAAGCTCATGATTTAGCAGCGTAATTTACGCTGGTTATTGACGCGTGCCGGGAAAAGCCCGATGTGTGATTTTACGGAACATTTATATGGCAACAAATTTCCAGCGATGCTATTTACATAATGCGAGCATAAATGAGATTCACCAGGATTCCACATGAACGGACGATGAAAGCAAAAAATGATAGAGGGCCCATCACATATCGCAAAATCGAGATATAATTACACTGCCTATAAACTTTGGATCAACATGTCTATCGATTTTTTTCACATTGATATTAACGAGAGTTAATTAAAATGTGAAATATATATTTCAAGCAATTTACAATCACGGAAAAAACAAAATTATATAATAATAGATAATATTATAAGAGAAAATTACGCCTATAAAAAAATATTACGTTTAGAGATAAATTCGTGTTGAGATAATTATATATGACGCGGAGAATGCGCATAAAAAGGAAGTTGAGAAATATCGGTATACAAAGATCATGTGTTATCATTAACATGATATCACTTTTGACGTGGAAACTGCAACAGGCGTATGCTACGGAAACACAATAAAATTTACAAGTTTGCGGAAATATTCATTGGATTGATTTATTTAGCACGGAAATAATTCACTTCTTTTTTTTTTCTTTTTTACTAAGTTTGAGATAAAGTCACTGAGATTTGATTATTTAAAAAAAATTGAGAAACTTCTTTCTAGGTATGTGAAAGAAGTGTATCGAAATCGTGAATAGTTTTATTAATAAATATTTGTGACAAAGGACGAGGAATCTTTTGCTTCATACTTTCACGTATGTATCATATCCGGTAAAGTAAAAATTAGGCCAATAAAGCCCATATTGTCAGTTTTAATAATTGTCGCTTCTGCATACCCTTGCAATTGTTGTGCTATTAACATTCTTGATTATTGTCGGAAATGCAAGTATTTCGCAGAATTGAGCAAGTGTTAAATTAATTGTAAAAATAAAGTCACCCAGAACGTTTTGTCAAGAATGTAATCTTGCGAAAGGAACCATCGGAATTTAATGGATAAAATCTTTGAGCATGTCATTTGTTTGCATGCATGCAATTTAACAGGTGTTAATATCTCATCGGTTATCACATATGTTATCAGTGATATATCAGCTAATTAGATTTTTTTTTCAATTACGATAGCATGTCACCAGTCACACAATTATGTATTCGCATAACGATAGATATTACGTGTCTATAACATATTATAAGGAAAATATGATAATATAATGATATAAGGAAAAAAACTGCGATTGAAAATATTTCGTAGAATAGTTTTTGTGAATGAGACATTATAGAAATCAATCATTGATAACGTATCATGTTCAATGTGACAGCCAGGCGGTAGCATAGTATAATATATTTATATGTACATTTATGAAATCAAAATTGTCAATGTTTTTAATTTTAATTATTTTCAAAAACTATTTAACATCCCGTTTGTTAAACCGCATTTTGTTTTGATTGCATGTGTCCTTTAAAAATCGTTCGACGATAAGCCAAAATTATCTTGTATATTTACTTTATCTATCGTATCAATATATATTTTTTTATAGAATATAATAAATTTTTCTTTTTTCTTTATTTAAAAAAAAAATTTGAAATGAACTATTATTTATTATAGAAGTTTTTAATTAATATATTATGCACACACACACACACACACACACTAGAAAATACTTTAATATAATTGCGAAATTTTTTAAAACTGAAAAATCAAATTCATTCATTTGCATTTAAATGAATAAATAAAGATTTTGTTATTTAATTACCTTTCGCGAATTTAGTTTACACGAAAAGCCTATTATTTTTAATTTTTCGGAAACTACAAACATTTTGACAATGTAATTAAAAAAAAAAACAATCTCTAAAGTTCAAAAAATCTCTTATCGAAATCAAGATTAAGAGTTTTGAGATATATTGTTATGACACGTACTTTCTCCGAGAGAGTTCCGAACTTCAAAAATAAATTAATTATCATGATAGCTTTCCATGTATGTTTTAAAACAGCTATCTGATGGCTATTATTCTGCAAATTTAGCGTGAATGTTTACGTGAGCGTAAGTTTGCTCAATCAATACTATAGAGGTCATGTCAATATTCTTTTTTTAACATCAGTGAAAAATATAAATAAATGATTAAGATGTTGGCAAATGTATGACTATCACGAATTCAAAATAAATTATATATTATGGCAGTTCTAAGAAGTACGTCATAATGCTGATGTTTTTTCATCCTCAACAGAATGTTCAATGTGACAGCCAGGCGGTAGCATAGTATAATATATTTATATGTACATTTATGAAATCAAAATTGTCAATGTTTTTAATTTTAATTATTTTCAAAAACTATTTAACATCCCGTTTGTTAAACCGCATTTTGTTTTGATTGCATGTGTCCTTTAAAAATCGTTCGACGATAAGCCAAAATTATCTTGTATATTTACTTTATCTATCGTATCAATATATATTTTTTTATAGAATATAATAAATTTTTCTTTTTTCTTTATTTAAAAAAAAAATTTGAAATGAACTATTATTTATTATAGAAGTTTTTAATTAATATATTATGCACACACACACACACACACACACTAGAAAATACTTTAATATAATTGCGAAATTTTTTAAAACTGAAAAATCAAATTCATTCATTTGCATTTAAATGAATAAATAAAGATTTTGTTATTTAATTACCTTTCGCGAATTTAGTTTACACGAAAAGCCTATTATTTTTAATTTTTCGGAAACTACAAACATTTTGACAATGCAATTAAAAAAAAAACAATCTCTAAAGTTCAAAAAATCTCTTATCGAAATCAAGATTAAGAGTTTTGAGATATATTGTTATGACACGTACTTTCTCCGAGAGAGTTCCGAACTTCAAAAATAAATTAATTATCATGATAGCTTTCCATGTATGTTTTAAAACAGCTATCTGATGGCTATTATTCTGCAAATTTAGCGTGAATGTTTACGTGAGCGTAAGTTTGCTCAATCAATACTATAGAGGTCATGTCAATATTCTTTTTTTAACATCAGTGAAAAATATAAATAAATGATTAAGATGTTGGCAAATGTATGACTATCACGAATTCAAAATAAATTATATATTATGGCAGTTCTAAGAAGTACGTCATAATGCTGATGTTTTTTCATCCTCAACAGAGAGACATACGAGAGACGATTACTTTACTATGAATTAAAAATAAATTATATATTGCAGTAGTACCATGTTCCAACAAGTAGGTATCTCTGTGAATTTTTCCTTATTTTTTAACCAAAAGAAGAGTTCTGATTTACATAAAATTTCACAATTTTTGAAAAGAGAAAAATATGAAAAAAATATTATTTTTAGATAAAATAAAAATATGTATCGAAAATATAATGTGAGATTTTAATAAAAAAATTATTTCAAAATTGCGTAATTCTATTTTCAATTTTCTGCAACAAATTTCTCTTATATCGATCTAATAATTATTGTATTAAATTTGAAAAAAGATTTTCTTTACGTCGGGCAATACATATAGAATGCAAAAAGCACGTGTACGTCATCGAAAAAGCAAATCGAGATGCTAGATTACAATACTGAGAATCGTGAATTAGCCTTTGGTCATAATAGTTTCCGTTTGCAATTATGTATCTCGTAATTCATCAAGGAATGAGATCCCACGAATTGTATTAAAATTTATTATGAAATCAATCTGTATTTTATTACGAAATATTTTAAAAATTCTTATTAATTATTTAATTAAATTATTATATATAAAGAGGATGTAAAATAAACGCGATGATGTGTACGCATATTTTGGATCTTTTAACGGGTTCCTTTGATATTTACGGTTTGTAATAAAATTACAAGACATTACAACATTGTTACACGATGTCCCATTATCATATAATATTTTAATTTCAGAGATTAGTTGAAGTAAAAAATTGTAATATTTGTTTTAATGTTGTAACAATTGTCAAAATCACATAACAGTTTTTATAGACTAATAGTTATAAATGATCAACATTCCTCTCGTTATTAAAGAAGATATAAAAAGATATATATTTAGACATATCTGTAAAAACTCATATTTTATTTATGAATACGATTTATGTGATACGATATTGTGTGTGATACATAAAAATATATAGCCAGAGTTGCAATAGGCTTATCTCGAAAAGAGGAAGTGTTACATTTATCTAAGCCACGATACTTCCGATTTTCGTAATATTGTTCTTAGCATTCACGACTTAGAAATATGTGAGAAAGAGCATTACATACAATGTGATAATGTAATAAAAATGTATTCTTTTTTTGCTTGTTTAAACAGGTGTCAGGCTAAGGGAGAGAATTACGATACATCTTGGAAAATGATCACCCGTCGTGAGACATATCTCGTGATTTTGATTATCACTATAAGCAGTTTCTCCGCCTTTCATTGCCCAACAAATACGACATGCGTCTGTGACCTGAATTACGATGACGCTTTCGAGTTAAACTGTTTAATGAAGAACGACTCCTATTTCATTGTGAATATTCAACCGAACCAATATATAAAGGTACGTATCTATCTAATTTTACATTTGTCTAGACATAGCTGCAAAGATATACTCATCATACTGTCAACAATTACAATTTATACTCAAGAACACAAAATTGTAAAAGAACGATAAATTTGGTATATAACATCAATGATGTTAACTGATTTTCAATTGATAATAGTATAGCAGAATTTGAACTTTCTATTATATCACAATTCTTTTTTTTAACAACAAATTTAATGAAATAATTTTCTTCAAAAATATAAATTCATATTTTTAGAAAAAGCCTATTTAGATAATTAAAAAATTAATAGCTTTTCAAATATTTCATATCAGTTACGAGATATATAACATTTTCTAAGAGTCTATTTTATTTCCATGCATGCTTTCCTTTGAAACCTTCTATGACATCATTTACACTAAAAGCTCAGAAAATTTTAAAACCTATATATAAGATCGATATGTTTTTCTTTCTCTCCCCTCTCCCCCCTCTCTCTCCCGCTCTCCTCCCCTCGCTCCTCTTTCTCTACATCTTTCATGCTATTATATAATCTTATAAATAAGAAGTAAATATAATAAATTAAATTAGTTTATGTTAACGTATTTTTTTTTCACACAGATCAATTGTATCAACTCGCCGGAATGGACAGATTTCTATTTGGATGTGACGTCCCAAACGGAAAATGAAATCAAATCAATGTTCTTTCAAATGTGCGATTTACCGAACAACAGAAGTTTGGGTGAAATCACGAAAATGTTAGGAGCTACTGGCGTTGAGAAATTGGGCTTCCAATCGTACAAGAACTTGAGCTTCACTCTGAAAAAGCAACATCTAGCCGGTTTCGAGAATCTGAAGTCTTTAATTTTATCGAGCAATAATGTGTCCTATGTAGACAGGGATCTGTTGGCCGATCTGACTAACTTGACGGGGCTCAACTTGCGCGAAAACAACTTACACTTGATCAATGGAATTTTCAATCATACCCCTCAATTGCAGTGGCTCGAATTGTCCGATAATGATTTGCAATCGATAGAATTAGGCACATTTGGGAATCTGAAAAACCTGACATTTCTCAATTTGTGGAAAAATCGTTTAACGAAACTACAATCGGGAATTTTTGATGGTCTCGTCGCTCTCAAAACACTCGATCTTAATTGGAATAACATGATCAGTTTACCGGAAGACATATTTGCGAAGCTGAAGAATCTCGAGATTCTCAACTTATCTCGGAACAATTTTACACATTTACCAAGGAATCTGCTACGAAATAACATGAAACTACATACCTTCACTATGTCTGACAACAAAAGAAATATGACCTTGCCAAATGAATTTTTCGCTAATTTAACAGAACTAAAGGTGTTGAATCTGATCAAGAATGGATTTACCATATTACAGGAAGATCTTTTCTGGGGATCTTCTTCACTGACCAATATCACTTTAAGCCGAAATTATCTTAAATTCTTACCCATGCTAATATTCCGAGATTTAAAAGAATTGCAAGAATTGAAATTGACTTTCAATGATCTTGAAGAATTGCCTGATTATATTTTCTTGAATACCAAGCGATTGATAAAATTGGATTTATCAAAAAATCGCATCACTTTCATTTCCAAGTGCGTTTATATACTGTTACTATACAAACAATAAATTTTTTATAGTTTCCATGTTTTTATCAATGTACAATTCTTTTTAATGTTGCAGCCATGTATTCGACGGATTGAATGCATTGGAAGAATTAAATATAGAAGAAAATCAACTGACGACCATTTCCGACCATAGTTTTACCCCTTTAGAACAATTGAAGATTGCTAAATTTTCCAACAACCGTCTTACGTTACGATCTACTTTTTTCGAGTATCATGATGAATATGGAACCACGTCACCTTTTCATCATTGCATCAATTTAAAGGAATTATATTTAGCCAATAACAATATTTCGGAAATATTCAGTGACTGGAAGTTGAGTAATATGCAACTTCGAATATTGGACCTCAGATATAACAATATATCCTCTATAGATGTAAGTATTTGGGAAAGCATACATACGCGTGTGCGCCACCCCCCCCCC